ATAAGTACTGATAAACAGCTTTTTAAATCAAAATGTCTGAAATACCCTAAAAGCTGTTAACATAATAAAAGTTAATTAATTTATATTTTACAGCCATAAATAATTATATTTTGCTATCATTTACATATTTCTTTCTCATCATAAATTATTTATAAGAGGAATATAAACTTATTATAGATTTTAAAGATATATAATTTGAATAGATCAAAGAACGATTTAAGATTTTATTTTAGTTTCATCCGTAGGTAATAATAATAGTCTATCATTCATATATTTCTTTATTATCACAAATTATTTATAAGAGGAATATAAATTTTTATTTAAGTTATATGTGCAACTTATGTTACATTTTAATAATATATAATTTGAATAGATCGCTTGAAAGATGTAAGATTTATTTTATTTTCATTCATTAGTAATAGTAATTGTCTATCATCTACACGTGAAAAGGGAAAAATAGAAGAAAGAGATGTTAGGATTATGTGGGTAATTTGGAGATTGTATAAAAATATTTAGGGTAAAAAGGTAAAAATGTGGTTAACTTAAAACAGCTTATAAGCTGGAAAAAAAAAGCACCCCTACCCCAACTTTTAACTTTTGGCTTAAAATAAATTTTTTTAAACTTAAAATAAGTTATTTTGAGGATTGTCAAACGACTAAATAAGTCAAAAACCAACTTTTAAGTCAGTTTGACCAGCTTTTAAGCTGAGTCAAACAGACTCTAATTCCTTTTCCTTTGTTTGGAGTTGTATAAAGCCCAATGACGCTGCTATGAACTAGCCCAATTGTCCAAAGATCAATTTGATAAAGTTTTCCGGTTCGTTGGATCCAATCCAATATAGTATTTATTTTTATTGGACCTACTATTTATCTAATTATATATTTCAAAAGTATTCATCTTACATAAAGAATGATTTTTTTTAGTCTGTTTAATAAAGAAAGGTCTTTTTTTTGGTTAAAATGGTCTAAATAAAGAATAATTTTTTTAAGTTTGTTTAATAAAGAACGACTTTTTTTTTAAATTTTAACTTTCAAATCATGTCATTCTTTTTTAAAAATAGAAAATAATTTTTGTTTACTGAAACACTGTGTATTTTCTTTGATTCCATCACAATATATATATATGTAGTTTAACGGTATGAAAGTAAAGAATAGAATCAAATTGTTCTTTATTAACGACTTGTTCTTTGGAACTGCACTTCATCTAAGTGCGGTAAAATCCCAATTTTATAAGCGCTCATTTATAATATCACGGATTTAAATTCAATAATTAGGGAACAATGGTTGTTTAGTTTATTATCCATATTTTTCCTCTTTGAATACGTAAAAAAACAAATATTTGTAATAACAAATTTTATATTTAATAATAATTTAATTCTAAAATATTTATAATCGTATAACAAATTATCATCTATAAAGTCAAACTATCAGGACGAAAAGAGTATAAATAAAACAAAACAGTAGAAGAAAAGAGGTTGATGATACAACATTCCCATTGTGTGTGTTTTGGTCCAAAAAAGATCGTGCCCGCCGCGACTTATAGAGAAGAAAGACAAGACAAAAAAGAGTTGCTAATTTGAAGATTTCAACCCTTTTCTATTCCAACCAAATAATATATAATATAAAAAATATTGAAGAAAAGAATGGAGGACAAATAAAGAGAGATAATAGGACGAGCATAGCACGCATCCCCAATTACCCATTTATTTTTCTACCTTCATTCTTAAGCCTTCCTTCACCCCTTATCATAATCCATTTTGCTTTTTCCTACTTATACGCAATCCTCCCCTTTTTCTTCTTCTTCTTGTTTCTCTTGTGGGTTGTTGCGTAAGTCAAATTATATGTGTTGAAACTATGGAGGGATTGATGGAAAAAGGGGTATTGGATGATATAATTGGGAGGTTATTAGAAGAGAAGGGAGGGAAACAAGTTCAGCTATCTGAGGCTGAGATCCGACAGCTTTGTGTGAATGCCAGACAGATTTTCCTCTCTCAGCCTAATCTCCTCAGGATTCGTGCCCCCGTTAGGATCTGTGGTATGTTTCTCATTCTTGTTGTATCATTACTGAAAATTGCACCTTTTCTGTTTCCAGATCTATTCTATTAGGATTAAGAAAAATGGATGTTTCTAATTGTCACCGAGAAAGCTATATGTTGGATTGAAAACATTGATAATAACATATTTATTCGATTAAAACGTTAATTGAATGTAGAGTTTGGTTTATGTAGTATTATTCTCTAGACAAATTGTGGTTTACTGAGATAGTAGACTTGCTTTGCGAAAATTCGAGTGTCTGTGAAATGTTTGATCATCTGAAATGGAACAATTAGTTTCTCATAAATGTTGCTCGTGAATTTATTGTTTTTCCTTTGCCATTCTGGCAGGTGACATACATGGGCAATTCCAAGACTTATTAAGACTTTTTGAATATGGAGGGTATCCTCCTTCAGCAAACTACCTTTTTCTTGGAGATTATGTGGATAGAGGCAAGCAGAGTTTAGAAACAATATGTTTGCTCTTGGCTTACAAAATAAGGTATCCAGACAAGATCTTCCTCCTTAGGGGGAACCATGAAGATGCGAAAATCAACAGGGTCTACGGATTTTATGATGAATGTAAAAGGAGATTCAACGTTAGGCTATGGAAGATATTTACAGATTGCTTTAATTGCTTGCCTGTTGCTGCACTTATAGATGAAAAGATACTTTGCATGCATGGTGGAATTTCGCCAGAGCTAAAAAGTTTGGACCTAATAAACGAAATTGAGCGGCCAGCGGAGATTCCAGATGGTGGATTGTTGTGTGATCTGTTGTGGGCTGATCCTGATCCTAGAATTAAGGGTTGGTCAGATAGTGATCGAGGTGTTTCTTGTACTTTTGGACCGGATGTAGTTGCTGAATTTTTGGCTAAGAATGAGTTAGACCTCATCTGCCGGGGTCATCAGGTATATGCTATACTCTTTTCGGTCGAAACTAGAATTGCATGATTATGGTTAAGATACATGAAAAGACTCTTTTACAAATAGGTGGATGGTATTCAGACATTTCTTGTGTCCACTTCTTAAAAATGCCCATACTACAAAAATTTCATAGGTTTCTCATGAAAAATGTGTTTTATTTTGAAGCTTTATGGCTTGAGAAGCTTTTAAACATCTAGCAAAGCATTTATCGAGTTCATGACATGAATAGTTCTTGTATAGTTCTGTTTTCTTCTCTCTCCTAATATTGGGGTGATTCTGAATGACTGTCATTGTTGAAGTATTTCAATAATGTTACTTCGGTAGTAGTTGTCAGCTTTGCTTCTATGCCCTTAGTATTTGAATTTGCCTAAGTTTTATGATTTCCCCTTAATGTATTTTGATCCTAAAATTTTGTTTTAGGTGGTGGAAGATGGATATGAATTTTTTGCTAAGCGAAGACTTGTGACTCTATTTTCCGCTCCCAATTATGGTGGAGAATTTGATAATGCAGGTGCCTTGTTAAGCGTTGATGAGCAACTTGTGTGTTCCTTCGAAATATTGAAACCGGTATTATCTAGCAGTTCAAAGTTGCCCCTTAAAAAGGTATGATAATCTTCCATATTTGCTTTAGGCTTCGAACAGTTAAAACATCCCAAATAATAAACTTCGTGTGGTTGATTTCAAAGTTCTACATATCACACAAAAAAACTGTTGTCATTTAACTAAAAACTTTTAAAAAACTGAACAAAAGTTCTCAAATGTCAAACAAAGTTCTAAAAGTATTTAACCAAAAACTTTAATGCATTCTGATGTCTCTATACAAGAAAATTATAATTTTTCATATTAAAAAGCTTGGAAGTGTTTTATTTCTATATAAGATATAATGTTTCTTTCTTATCTATCATGTGGTTTTGATTCCCGTACATTTGTTGTCATTTATCATTTGTAAGGACGCTTTAATAGAAACATTTATGGACCTTATTAAGTTTTAGGTTTAGGCCAATGATTGTGTTTAAGTCGCCCCAATCTTGGTAAGTTTTTGCTAGTGAAAATTCTACGAGATATCTTACTGTTCTTTTCTTTAATTGAACAGCCACCCAAGGCTGGAGGGATGTGATAAAGTAGAAAGTGTACATGGAGATTTATCCAGTATATAGCGAAGAATGACAAGCACTCCTCTTTATATTTTGTTATTGATACAAGCCGTCCTTTCCAAATACCTTTCCGTCTTTGAAACCATGGATTGGCCAGGGGTATTATTACACTAAAGGAAAAAAAAAAGAATTCTGTAAATCAGCAATATAACGTATCCTCAGACAAAAAGTAAGATGTTTCAGTTGTTTAATTTAGATAATTTTTGTTTACTTCTTGTATTTACTAGCACTCATAAATTTGACAATTGTTGATCGTGAATGAGTTGCTATTTTTTTATTGTTCAATAGTTTACAAGATTCTGTAAAATTACCAGTTTTATGAATCATTTGTTTTAATGGTAACATAACCATTTTGTAATTGCAATATAATGATTTACTTGATAATGAAAATGTTCAAAGCTCATACCCTCATGCGCCTTAGCTATGTCACATGTCTCTCTTTGAGTGCCCCTTAGCTATCTCACATGTCTCTCTTTGAGTGAAACAAGCAAAGATGCGAGTTTGCAGCTCGATCACTGCTCCAGATTTAAGTACTTGAAATTGAAAGTGAAAAGAATATTGCAATTCTTTTCCCCGGATTCAAGTATTTGAAATTGAAAAAGATATCACAATTTGTATTTGATCATGAATTTTATTTTTAAAAAATATAATTTTGCCATAACAATTATACCCCTAAAAATACGCTTCTAATACGTTCATTATATTTCACCAGTATATCCAACATAAAAGTTCAGTATCAACAAAATATAATTGCTTTCTTTTACCGTCTTTGAAGAAGGGTGGATTCATGTTTGATTGGCGTCTATACTCATATTCATGAGATAATTGTCAAAAAGCCAACTGGTAACTGGAAAGATGAACGATTTTAAGTCTTATCAAAAACATCCTCAAAATTTAACCGCTCATTCTTAATTAAAAGCTGATAGTGTTTTGGTAATTAACAGAAACCATCCATTAACAATCCGTAAATCTGCGTATAATGATGTGGTTAATCCATCACTTAAAAGAACCAAGTATAAATTCAAGTACCGCAACCGATCATCTTCTGTAATCGGACTCATGCCTGCACTTTCAACAGAGAACCCACTTGATGCTATCACAAGGGAATTGGAATGGCTTATAGATTCCAGCGGTTTCCGTGTTATCAAACTTGCCTTTAAAATCAAGACTCAAGACCAATATGGTTTCTGAGAAGAGCACCCTAGGCAACAAGATATAAGAAGTAGAGAGAGAGGCGAGGCAGGGACATCCGAGTTGCACCAAAAAATATAAGAAGTAGAGAGAGAGGCGAGGCAGGGACATCCGAGTTGCACCAAAAATTTTCTTCACTGGTTTACACTTGAAGTACAAGAACAATTGAAATCTGTATTCATTGCTAATTTCATCAGGGAGTATAATAACAAGCTGAAATACCTCCTTTTAGTAAGGAGTTAGTTATCATCTTTAACTTCCCTTTAGGCTTCCTAAAGTTGTAGGAGATCTTGGACTCCCCCTTCCTTCTAATTTCTTAGCAGTACGTTGGAGGGCCGCTAGTTTCTGGCGTTGCCTATGGCTTTTCCTTTGACTGCATGGTAAACGTAAATGACAGTGATGAAGTATGATATCACAAGTGTACAGACGTTAACAAACTTCCAAATGCATGATGATCACTCTAACAGAGTAAGAATCAGAGTCCACGTGATTATACGACTCTTAGTAACAACTAGCATTCTAAGATAGCAACAGTGTGCGAGAGAGTCCATGAAGCTCAAAATTAGACTGTCTTTAGTTATTTGTTTTTTTTAATTTTGAAGGAATTTAAAAAATAACTAGTAAATAGGAGTTGACTCACCTGGTAAATAGAAGTCCTGCTGTAAGAACCATGCCTCCTACAGCCCAAGATATTCTCTCTTTAAATGTCATGTCCTCCAGCCATTGCTTGAAATCTTCCACTAATCCAGAACTGTCAGCTTTCTCTTGCACCTTGGATCGTGAAGTTCGCCATGAATCGGCAATATAATCCACACTAGATTTTCCACCATAGCAAGAAACTTCTTCTGGATCATCAGACAAAGACTTCACCGAAAAACCTGCAACGCGGCAGAGCTCTGTCCCATTAGAGATCCATTCGGACGCTCTACCACACACAAAGTCGTTTACAGCACAGGGTGCTAAAACCTGACATGTAATTTATATTCAGATGTGAAATATGTCAATAACTGATAAGTTCAAACATGACAAGAAACTAAAATAGATGTCGTAGCAAGCGAAGGATCAAAAAGCATCATCTTTGTATATGATCCAAAATACCAAATTGAAATATCCAATAAAAGCTATTATCTGGTGATTTAGATACTCCATTGCTGAATAACTCATCTAAAAATTCTGTTAACAAACTTGAGCTCTAAACAAACCTGTGTCTTAGCATCAATGGAGAAGTATGCGTTGGAGCAGGCTTGGTATACTTTGTCACAGAAAGAGGTGCATAAAACAGGTGGTCCAGCCTGCACACCAACACGTGGATCACAGATTGAACATTCTAACATCTCCCATAAGTGCAAGCACTCCTGGCTCGCTTCTCCGGTTGAAGCAAGCCTCCTAATGGACATAAAAGCAGGATGTGTCTGTGTTACATCACAGCAAGTTTTCCCGCGAAATACCCTACAGAGGTTCAAATCTCTTGGGCCCTTTTTTACTTTTCTTGGAGGTTTTCCTTCATTTGAAAATCTTGGAAAGCGACCACCAGGTGAAATACAAACTCCATTATCTTTACCTGTATTTGAATGATTCAGTAACTCATTATAAGAAAAGAATATTTTAGAAATAAAAATCTTAATTGAGACCCATCAATGTTTTCTTTAAGATCTTCAAAATTAATACTCTTTACTTGTATTAATAATCAGATCATAGTATCTTGAGCCCCCATTATCCAAGAAGTAGTACGATTTTGCATTTCTTACAATCAGTTAAAATTTTGACAACAACACTACACAACTGTTTATCAATCTCAAGCTAGTTGGAATTGGAGATATGAATCCTCACTATTCAAGTCCCTTCATTTAGAACCTGCTAAATTCAATACTTTATGCTCTCTTACTGGAGTAGTCACTACATTTGCTATTGGCATACATATATCTTTTTCAGTATAGGTTGCACACAAATATCTAACAAGATTAAGCAACTCCTAACAAACCGATTACTTGGTATCGCCTTAATGAACTTTTTCCTTCCATTATTGCTATTTCTTTGCTACATGTTCTAAGAGATTCATATGTTTTTCAAGACAATTTCTGCCCAGCGATTTTACGTCTACCTATCTCATTTAATACATTCAGTAGCGACTTTTTTACACATAGGGTTCAGTGCATTCTGAAGTTGACATAGGACATGACCAGCACCATCTCAAGTGACCTCTCTAATTTTACTTTCTAGTTATTTCATAAGAGTTATCCTCTAGGTGTGACCCTTGCCACTGCTGTAGCACTTTCAAATTAGTAGGTCTCCTCCTATTGCATAATACTACATGAAGCATAGCTATCTGAATTGTTGGCACTTACGCTCTACAATCCTGTATAGCCTCACTCATTTCACTCTAATTATGTTAAGCAAAACTTGTTGTGCATATATCAATCTCACTTCTACTCATCCCAACACCCCTATATCTAGAGTGTTTTTCCATGAGTCAAACTTAAGGTTGCTACCCTAGCTAGTTTCATCAGTTAACACAGTATTGTGCCACAGGTAAGTTGGATCATTATAACTAGGGTAAACAACTATGACACAATACAAATCTTTAGTGTAAAACCCATAGTTAAAGGAAAAACTTCTTTATACCCTTTACAGCACCGTTCTCACACTAGTGACATCTCCTTCAAACATATCATTTATAGTGTATACATATCTAATATGCTATGACACAATACAAATCATTGGTGTAAGCCCGTGGCTAGGGAAAACTCCTCTATACACTCTAATCTTTACCCACAGTTCTCACACTAATGCAAAACTCCTTTTGGATTTTGTCTGCCCCTTAATTGTCCTGGAAAGTTTTGTATAGGAGTAGACATCATCCTTATTGTTGTTAATTTTTGCTATACATCTTCTTGATGCCATTTAATAACTTAAATAAAAAAAAAGATATGTCAGGTGATGCTAACACGTTTAGCCTCAACTTCATGCCAAAACAAACTTTCTTAGTATTTACAATACCATATGTGTAAGCAATCTCTTAATGTGCACATATACTTTTGGATCTATTACAACAAAAGGTCTCAAGTCTTTCCTCTGATGCTTCTGCAACAAGTATCTAACCTAAAAATAGGATGTGTAGTTCATAGTTCCACTTAAAAGAAATCCAATTAGCTGATAATATAATCTCTAACACCTGGAATGCATTGCATCGCGACCCTCACTTTTCACCCAACATTTCTGAACTTCACCACAATTACCATTACCCATCTTATTTTCTAGCATGCTGGAAAACTCCACCTCTATTTGATGAATTTGATCAGTTCTTGCATGTTGTTTCCTTCAACATCATTATGTATCCACTTGAACTACGACCATAATAACCCCACAAACCACTCCAAACACTAGGCACTTCTTTCTAATTCACAAATAATAATATGAATTGCAAGTTAAATTAGAATCGTGTAAGTTTGGTTTTGTAGATCACCACACACTATACTGGCTATTCACATGTGAGAAGTTTCGCTATGTTAACATTCTGATCTTTATGCAAAGGTGAAAACTATGTCTTAGCATACTTTTTTATTGGCCGAACATAGTCACATAAATCAGATCACTATAGGAAGCTTTTGCATCCTTACAAAACACTAGATACATGAACAACTACAACAACATAATAGCCAGCGTAGTATCACAAAGTAGGCTCGATAGAGTGTAACCAAAAAAAAAAACTACTAGCGGGAAGAGCATCAAAATCTTTTCATCAAAAATAAAATTGCAGTCTACACACTGCTCAGTTGGTGACTAATACGCCAATATAAATTGGAAGTAAATACATCGAAAAAATTTACGGGGTTATCCAATTATTCAAAATCCAATATAGCTCGATCAGCAAAATTAACAGCCTAATTGCAAATAAATCATTCATTTTATTTATCTGAGGGTTCGTATTGGATATTAAGTCAACGAAATAATTAACTAATTTTGCAGAAAATCAGCCAGAAGGGGATTGTTTGAACCTAGGGCTTGACTTTTTGTTGCGTAGAAACTAGAAAGAATAAGATTGTGATACCTGAAACGTAGTGTAGTTGAAGGTGAAAGGATGTCGCCAACAGCAGTACCAAAGAGAATTGCCATTTCAATTCCATTCTTCAGTCCCCTTCTCTTCTCACTTCTTCTCTGCTTACTTTAATTTAACCACCCTTTCTTCCTCCCTCTTTTTTATTTATTTATTTTTTACTATATTATATTCCTTCTTAATTTTATTGTTAATATTTATTGGAATCATGGCTTTAGCAATAGGGGCATTTGTGTCTTTTGAGATGACTCAATTGGTTCAAATGATGGTCATGATCACCTTTTTATGCTTTTTGAGTTGAATTTGTCTCATTGCCTAATGCAATTTATATTATGTATATGCTTAGCAGACTATTATTAATAGGGATTAGCCAATGTGCACAATCAGCACATAGTATTCACCTAAGGGTAGAAGTTGTGACAGAAATTATAGCAGAGTAAATTATAAGGGAATTAAAAAAAATTCGACCCTCTAATTAAGTTTATTCATTTTTTATGATAAATTGTAATTATAAATTAATCCGTAATTTTCAAATTGAGGATTCAAAAATTAGCACTTGGCAGCAATAGGGGAACTTCTAAAAAATTGCTAGCGGAAGGATCCTTTTTTTTCTACTAAAAAGTATAATTAAAGTTATATATTAGCAATTTGGAAAATAAGAATTCAGAAATTAATATCAATAAACTTTTACTGGATTCTGGCCCCACCATGAACTGCCTAATAAGATTTATAATCTGTTTGGTAAAGTTTTAAGAAATTTAAAAATATTTTATCTTTTAAAAATGAAGTGTTAAGGAAATCGTTTAGGAAAAGATAAGTAATTTTTTAATAAAAAATAAAAATATATCAAGGTCTCAGTAAAATTATGTTTGTATTTTATGATATTCGAAATAAAAATATGATAAAACAAAATAATATAAAATAATCACCAGGTAAGTATTATTTAAATCATTTTCATAACTAAAGAACCACAAATTTTAAGGTCCAAAGTTAAGTCACGGCGGTCTAATTTGATCACTGAAAAGTGGCAGTCTTTTAGGTCATCATTTTATTTTATCCTAGTAAAGCATTCATATACGATATATCAATTATTTATCAGACGATTATAAAGAGAGTCGTAACGAAAATATTTTAATTTTTAATACTTATAAAAATCAAATTCAACAAAATAGCTCTTAACCTAAAAGGTTTACCCATAAAGAAGTGAAAATAAAAATTCAATACAAAACATTTCAAAAATCATTGTAATCCGAACACATTATATGCAAAAATAAAATAAAATAAAGAGACCCCTCTTATACAACAGTAGAGTACTATAAATGTTGCTTAGTTCCCCCATATAGTGTAATAAAATAAAGAACTATGAATTTCATCACGCGCAAATGACATTTTTAGCAACATTTCAAATATTAGCCAATTAGGAGAATTAGTTCTAACAACAGAAACTAAGGGGTAAAAATGAAAACTAATCCAGCAATTTCAACAAATAGCATTTCTTTTACTATTCTAAAAATCAACTCTCTCATTCTTTTCTAATGTGTTTCATTACGCCAATTCACATTATCGCTCGTCAATTTAGCAATCCATACTCTGATTTTCGTAAGAAACAGATAACTTCTTAAATTCCAACAAAGAAAGTGAATGCGTTAATCCTGACATCGTCTTATTTAAGTTCTTTTGACAAAAATCTTCAATAAAATCTCCAAGATCATTTGCGTACCCTTCCTTCTCTCTTCACCCATTCGTTCCTAGTTTTGACAAAATTTGAGATATTTGTTTCTTCTTTCGCCATCACGCAAAGACCCATTGTACTTTGATCAAAGACCAAATAAAATATCTAACGAGAGATCAAAGTTATTTATTCCTAAAAATTTTTAACACCAAAAAAATTGTGATAGAGTACTAAGTATTTTTAGTTAATCAGATATAACAAGAAGTTCAAGTCACTTTGTTGGTACAAACATCACTTTTATTAGGAAGGACTTATACAGAAGATAAAGACTTGCAATGAAGATCTAGATTTAGTCAAACTCCAATATAATAAAAAACGTTTAAGAGACGCAAAAATCAAAATAACATTATAAGGGAAAACTCGTAATACAAAGCAGAATACATGACGAACTTGGACGTTTACATCTTGTGCTAAACCTTCGTCACAACATCGGCAAGATGAAGAACCACTTGCACTATATACAAAATTAAGCAAACAAAACACCACTTGCCACAAGTCCACACAAAACAACATTCTCAACGAGGAACATGTTGAGTAATGTCGACTAAGCTATACTACATTCAGCCGCCTCAAGAAGGAAAACAAAAAAGGAGAACCCGACTATATCTCACAGGTCGTAAGGAGGACGAGGGCTTCTGGGTCCAACCCCACTGGCATTCTCGTATGCAAATGACGCTGATCGCCGACGGAACCGAAATGCTTCTCTTCCAGAAGAACCTGGTCAATCATCATTACACATCAAATAATAAGTCTAAACTCTACAGAGTTCTCATCTCAACATGCATTATAACTAGCTAGTAGAAACTCCCTGTATTATATCTATCCAACAAAGTAATATTGGTACACCTTTACTATTAATGTCTGTTCAATTATAAAACCACTAAAGCAATCGCTCAAAACTTTAAAAAGATAAGAACTCTAACATATATTATCCACTTAACTACACATATATCTGAAAGGTCAGAATACATAGGGGGTCCTTGATTTCTAAAAATTGATGTTTTTACCAAAATGACTACATGGGCCAAGTCATGAACAGAGTAAGAGAATCAAATTAAACTTGACCACTACCCAAACTGTTAGATGAATGCTAATTAATCAGTTTTAGGTTATATGTGTAAGCTAAGCAGCCATGCACGGGTTATATGTAGAGGGGTGAGGCCGAGCACAAATTGTGTCTTTTAAACGCTTCAACGGAGTCTAGAAAGGATATCACTATCTAAGTGGACACCACCATATTAAAATAATTGCGGTCCACCTAATATCTGCATTATTGCATCGCATTATCCGCTAAGTTACGTCAATTATAGAAAATTACACATTTACCATAATAACCTTACAAGATTCTTCTAGATTTTTTTTCTCCTCTTTTCTTGGAGGGTACTTTCGGTTAATAATCGAACAAATTATTCTAATGGTACAATCAGCGCCGAAGCGACGACGGGAAAGTAGGAACTAGTTAGATCGGAAAACTAATCACAGAAAGTGGCAGCTTACCAGAAAAAGGAGATACCGGAGGAGTAGTACCGGCCGGAGAAACGGGAGGTGAATCTCTATTCTGACTCCCGGAAGGCTTTACGATCATGATACTTCTCGTCACCTTCACCGCGTCCTCACTTGCTTCCTCAGTAAAGGATCTCGGTGTTGAAACTTCTGATTCTGAAGCAAAACGAAAAAAAATGCTTCATGAGAACCGAATATTTTCGGTAGCGAAAATTGCAGAATCCTAGGATTAAATTATTTATCAAAATCGTTTCCTTCTCTTTTTGATAAGCTATCATCTAGTCCTTATTTAGGAAAATGTAACTTGCAATATCAGCAATCAAATTGAGACAGAAATCGACATATTTTAGCCAGTTAACTTTAAATACTGATCAAGTTAATCAGATCTCCTTGAAAAAAAATAATAGACAGCGTTATTTAAATCGCACTAATTTGTGCACGTTCACAGATAAATATACTATGTTAAGTGATAATTCAGATTAACACAGATTTGATAAGCCAATCATAATAGATAGTACTGATTATTGTTTGTTAATAGAGTTCAGAAAACGCCGGCGAAAGATAGCAACAAAAGCATACCCTTGCCGGAATTTGAACGCTGACTAAAAGTAGAATACTTCCGGAGCTTCCCGAGGCCACTATCTGGCCGGGGACCGGCAACGGTGTCGTCCCAGAGCTTGTCAAGTAAGCTCATGGTGCAGGTTAGCGAATCGGCTCACGTTAAGGGGAGAAGAAGAGAAAAGGGAAATTATACGTCCTGCAAGGATAGAACTTTCTCGGCTTGTAGTGTTCTACATAGGAGTGAGTAATGTTATGGCGACTGATATTTATTGACGGCTGAAGCGTAAAGGCTTTTGCAGGTTTGTGGGATAAGATCGGTTATAGACCGTTGATTTTGATCTTTCAGATCTGAAATGAAATGGACGGTTGGATTTAAGAGCACGTATATGGAGATAAGATCGACGTGACAAAGCCGGCGTCTTTCTACCTTTGGCTTTTAGCCACGTGGCTCATGAACATTGAGCTGATCAAGAATGTCACGTGATCGGTCGTTATCTGCTTGAAATGTCAGATATGTCCTTTATTTTATCTCAGATAATGAAATGGTGAATTGGTTTTTGGGTATTGAGATTGACCCGGAAATGTTCTGGATAAGTCGTTAATTTTAATTTTTGTCGTCGACTACTCTTGTATATATAGACTCTTTTTACTTTGAGTCGAGTCGATCATTTTTTTAAAGTGATAAGAAAAAAAGGCGTATATATTATTTTTGTGTGATGATCATAAATACATTATTGTTGTTATTGTAGAAATAATTTATTTTATTTCTTTTCTTTTATTAGTAATAATAATGGACTGTTTTCAGTGGCGTAATTTTTTCCTTTGAAAAAAAGATGGAACCTTATCTTATTTAAAAATTGTTTAGTTAGTCAATGAATTTTACTTTTATGTTTACTGATTATTCTCGTAGAAAATTCACATGATTACATAAATTAATATTTTTAATGTGTATTAAGAAAATTATTTTGTATACATTTTAAAAGAATGTATTTTTTCTTTTACTTAGATCTTCATAATTCTTCACCAATCTAAAATAAATAAGTTAAGACGTATGTAGTACGTTATAAGTATTAAATTATATTGGATAAAATTTAATTTAGATACATGGGTAAATTAAGAAAAAACACGTAGAGGATAAGGATAAAATTAAGACTGATTCAACATTACAGATATATAAATTGTCTTAATAATTATCCTAAAAAAACATTAATTACTTTTCTGAAGGATTTAAATCCAAAATAGTTAAATTCGATATATCACATGTAAATTTATATAACTTCAAAACTATAAGATCATATCTGTAATTCAATTATTGCACAAAAGAAATGAAATCCTCATCAATCATTATTCAATGAATACAGAGATAAATAAATAAGAATAATTATTGAATTATTTTTACGTAAATTACATGATAGGGTTTAATTATAAATAGTCTTTCCTCTGTCTAGATCATCGATTTATCATCTACTCATTATACAACACATTGATATTATTTTATATGGTTAATCTCTTGTCCTATTATTTATTGTACTAAATTGTCTAGCGAATAAGACCAAGTCCATTTGATGGAACTATCAGCCATCAACATTAAACCTCAAACCTCATGCTCCTTCTAATTATTTACTTTACTATTTTTATTTAATTTCATATTCGGTATATTGTTCGTACTAATCAAACACTTCACAAAATAAGCAAACTATATATTTAGATCAATCTTAATCTATATTTTTAATTTAAACCATGCTATAAATATAATGATAACATTTTTATGTATAAACCTAACTCTGTATATTTTATGCTAAAATAAATAACTGTCTCCAAAAAGAATAAATAAAATAGACATCCCTTTCATGTACTTCAACGTATTCTTTTCAAATTCCGTTCCATCCCTACTTTGAAATGTCATTCATAACCACGAATTTATCATGGGAAACGAAGAAAATAGAGAAAATTTTATAAATAGCAAATATAATAGACGTAATAAAGTTTTATAGCTTTATTTATTATAATTGTATTTCATATATATATTTCGTTTGCTACGAAAATTGCAGATATATTTGTGTCGTTTGTGTATTTTACCTGTGAATATATAAATTGGCTAGATATATACAAATTTTATATCTATTTTTTTTTTACATATGATTTAAATATTTACTAATCTAAATAATTTTCCCAAAACAGTAGTAATGACATTTAATATGATTTAAATATTTACTAATCTAAATAATTTTTCCAAAGAAAATATCTAGGCAAACCCAAGAAGCAAATTAAAATTTTGGCACTGTATTTGGTACCTTCATATTAAATGACCATTGTGTTATAATTTTATTTATTTAGAAGAAAAAGAAACAGCATTATGTATGCGGTCTTTTCCATAAGCTGTCTGTTGATGTTAAGCAAAGTAATAAGTATACCTACTTTATTTATAAAAATTAATTCTGATGAATAATGTCAATCATGCCATACTTAGTAGGTGCATGTCCCTTTCGAGAGCCAAATCTTTTTTTAAAAAATTTGTTACTGACGATATTTATATTGAAATTCAGCTTAAATTTAAGTTTATATTAAAAAATATATGATGAATAAAGTGTTTTATATTAGTTATTACAAATAAAAATTAAATTCAAAAATCAAGTAGGATAAGAATTAGAAAGAATCAAGACGTTTAAATAAACGTTCTTCGATAGAAAAGTATACCATTTGTACACAAATAAAATTATTTTTTACATATTTACGGTAGAAATAAAACTCCTTTTTACCTCTTTCTATATTTACCTTTTATATTTCAAGCACTTTTAATTTTTTTTTTAAAAGCCAAGAAAAATTGATTCCAACAGTGGACCAAGTCATTTCAATAGCTCAGAAAGGTCAGAGATGCACTCATTTATTTTAATATAATAAATCCTTACCTAATCAGTAATAACCTTTTGTTTTATATAAAGATACATGCGTTTTAATAATTAGGCAAGTGGTGATATACCTTTAATTAAAAGCAAACGACCTTTCAAGTTATGGTTCAAATTTTATCTTATTGGGCCCTTGCGGGGCACTGATATGTGACCTCCACCGCACCTTGTTGAGCATCACTTCTATTACGTTATTCAAATTCAATATTATTGATTTAATTATTAAATTTTTTTCAAATTTAAGATCTTAAACTTTAAGTTTAAAAATTTTTAAAATTGATTTTTCAAGGTCTTTTTAAATCACTTACAAAAATTAAAATAAATTCAATTGATATTAATGTATAAATATTATTTTAATGCTAATATTTTTATTTATAAATTTTACATATTTTTATATTTAAATGCTTTTACTGAACTCACATTTTAAATTAATCCTAAACGCATTTCTTTATCATTCGAGGAGGAAGAATCATTGTGTTTGATGCAATGAAATCTTCTGTTTTTTATTTTTTTTATAAAAAGTTCTATCATGATTATATATTGTTATGAACTTGATTAATATAATCTCCTTATTGATTCCACTTTTACTTGTATTGTCTGCCCATATAGCCTAACGTTCAAGTCCACTTATTTACGTACTTCAATGCATAAAATTCAAATGTTTGGTTCGACTTGTTAATGATTTTTCATCATGTTTAAGGGTCATTTATCATGAACCACAAAGTTTATACAACAGTAAATGAAAACAATAATATCTCAACTACTTTGACATTTAAAAGACCCCTTAACCACAAGGATCTTGTGAACACCGTTTGCTCAACCATACCTAATTGTGATTTTGACAACTCTTAATAGTGAAGACTTGACTTTTAAGAGCATTGATAAGTTATTCATCTTCATATAACAGTATAAGTTATGGCCATTATCAATTTAGGTCCTATGTAAAGCTCATGGATCTTTAGATTCCACTACAAGGCTTGTGCATAAAGATCCTCAGTACCCCCACCACACTACCACCACCACAAAACTCAATATCTTATGGATTCTAATGCTCTGTCCATTTCAAACATAATGATTTATAATTTTTTAGTCTATTTGTAAAAATGATCTTTTTCCTTTTTGGTGTCACTTTATTTTTGAATTTTCATATGGATTGTTCAAGGTTATAAGATTAAAGGATAATTTGATATATTTGGCATAACTTAATTTTGAATTACAAGAAAAAAAAATCTTCTTTACTTTCTTAAATTTTATGTCCAGATCAAGTCAAAATAAATCACTTTTTTAAACGAAAGTGACGCCTTTTATCTTTGGCTTATAATTGACATTGCAACTTAATAAAGGCGGATGTAAAATGTGATATTTACATATTTTTTTATTATTTTCAAATTAGTTTATAATAATAACTTTTTTTTCTATCCAGTGTCGATACTCATGTTAGAGCTCAACTTAATACGAATTTGTGCAGAAAAGTCACTGAGGATAAATCGCTCCCTAACAAAGTTTATAATAATTACTAAGTTTATACTCCATCACTTCCATACTAAGTGAATTTTTGAGGTGTTTCACACTCTTTGAGAAAAGTAAATTAAGACATAGATTGAACTTAGTTTTCCATTTTTATCTTAATTAATTATTGTCAAATTTATGATTTAAAATAACTAATTAACTACTCCCTCCGTCCGGTATTGTTTGTCATGGTTTCTATTTTTAGAGTCAAATTATAAAAACTTTGACTAACATTTTAAGATGCATTTTTTCATCATATTAATATGAAAAAATTGTAATTTATAGTACTTTTCATATAGTTTTAGAAAATCTAATTTTTTTATTTAATATGTCGAATTAATGTGATCTAATTTAGCTTTGAAAATTAATCAAATTGACTTTCGATAAGCGCAACATGACAATATTTCTGAATTGAGGGAGTATTAATTAATCATTAATTCCAATACTGAAGGATAAAATTGGAAGAACACTCTAAAAATAGTCTTGAAAATTGAACAATTAGTTAACTTGAAACAGAAACTTAGGGTTAAGAAGTATTTATAGATATTGAAATTCATTCCTGAAGCACTAATTTATTTATGCTTAAACAAATCATATAGAATGTTTTCGTCATTGGCTATTCAAAAAGTTTGTCAACATGAAACAGCCAGCAGCCTTGCTTTTATAGTTTGTATTTCGAAGGGGATGTGAGGTAGGAAGAAAAATGTCTTTCCATTACAAGCAGGTTTTAACAATTGACAACCCACCAATAGAGAAGCACATGTTGGATCAAAGACAGATAAGATGAGATAATTAGGATAAGATCTTTAAGGTTACACTAATGCTACAAAGCATTATTATGTCTAATCATATTGAGTGC